CGGAGCATGATAAATGCCTATACATTCTTCTTGGGAGAGATCGTAAACAACCAACGTATTCATTCCATATTAACTACTAACCCTGTGCAAATACATGCGCCCTAATAGAGTCATTCATGTCACATACGCTCGATCAAAAAGACTTCGAACAATGACGGGATCTGGAAAGTAATCACTCCGTTGCGGTATTTCTGTTGCGTCACAACCAGGCAATCGAGCCAGACCAGATTTTAGTGTCTGCGTGAATAGTCGTGGTCAGCAAGATAACACTGGCTGGGCATTACAACTCTCAACCTTAAGAGGCTCAATTTTATAGCAACATAGTTTTTTTGTCGATCGTTTCCCGTAATTTCTATACAACGCTTCACCTAACTAAACAGTGATGGAAAGATATCCTACCTGAGAAGATAACGTCGTCCCACAACGTAAACTTTACTGCACATCAGGGGAAGGGGATATTAGACAGCCGAATAACAGTCGGACGCGAAGGATCATCCCAAGAATGCGAAGAAGCAGTCCATTCATTTTTCAGATGAGAAGTCGATTCACCTTCTTATGGTACCCATTACTTTTTCAACAAACCCCACATGAGAATGCCGGCAAGCTCATTTTTAAGTGAGCGTGATAACCAGATATGTGAAGGTAAACATTAAAAATGGCTACCTGATATGTTAAACAAGTTGTAGATGTGTGATATAGGTGGATTTTACAGGTAAAGTTCAAATATCAAGTAGATCTTACCTATCTTTGATTTTTCGATACAGGTAGGTCACAGTTTGTTAGCTGCATCGACGGTTCGAAGGCGAGGATGAAGAAGCTCAAAGAAAAACTGGCTATGTCCGTCCTGAAAAGCCAGTTAAGTTCTGGACAAGAAGAGGAGTACGATGAGGCTCGTTCAAAGTTCTCAGCCATCTTTTTATAAGCTCAAAATAAAGTAAGGTATGTTCAACAATATTTGACGTTGGAAGTTTTAGCGTGAAGATCCACCATCCAAAGAACGAAAGAAGAAGAAAACCAAAGGCAAGGAAAGCTCAGGAACAGACGGTGAAACAGATCAAGCGGGTCAGTCGGATTCAGAAGACGACGAACCAGAGGCAGAAGAGGTGCTCATGCAGGCGCAATTAAGTATTTGAAGGCTCGATTTCATCCCTGGTTTAGGATCGCGCTGCCGCTAATCATCTTCACTACGGAAAGAAAGAAGCAAAGTTCGGTCTGGAAACATTTGCCGATACAGACAAACCGCGAACATGGCATGTATGTTGCCGTTGTTTAATGCAGTCTCGGAAAGATGTCTTGAGCACAATGATGCTCACCAGACCATTATCATATCAGACGTACCTGTTTGCTTGTCGGTCTGCCTATTCGTTCATTAAGTGTAACACATGATGAAGAATCAATCCACAGGAGTCGGCCGCTAACACAGTCAAAAGCTAATCGCTAATGTGAAGTTAACCTAACCCGATGATATCAGTGTGATAACACCATCCTACTCCTCCATAAAATGCTAATCAGTAGTTTTTAGCTAAGCAGTTGAAGCGAGTCTGAGTAAGATTTATTCATTCCATTCTCGGTGCCCTCCGGAGAAAACTGAATAGGTGTCTCATATGATCCATACAGCCCTGGCGGAGTGCATGGAAGATATGCTAGATCAACTAAAAGGAGTGACCGAGGGGTTTTCATGAAGCATTGAGGAGCCGATCCTGCTCAGCCAACTTTGGTGAACGCGATGACATCTGCTGGTTTTCATTCAACGTGTGCTGAAGAGCACGCCCAAATGACACTGAATAGCAGAATAGCACTCTGTCACATGTGTCAACCGAGCGGCATGTCCGCGCAATGCACCACCGCTCACCTAATCACATTTAACCTTGCATTTTCTTCCTTATCCAGCAGATCAACAGAGTCACTAGAGGTCTCTACTCAAGAACTACGTAAGTGTGGAACCAAGCAGTAGCCAGTTACCACCCAACGACAAAGAGTGTGGAGCTATGTCGATGAGCATGTGCTTCAGAAGAGACCCAGGTAGCGCAAGGGTGGCCGGGTCCTTCACGCGCTTCGCGATGCTCCACACTCTTCTCCACGCGGACTTCGTAGGTCTCGCGTCTCGCGATCCCGTTGTCCACGCCAGATACTTACGGGTTGTTACTGCATGCGCAGTATACCAAGGACTACCCTATACGTAATAGACCTATGATCCAGTCTGAAACTGCGTCCCCTTCATCTCCTTGGCACAGAATGTACTGCAGTGTATAGAATGACCACAACGTTACTACCTCAGTGGTACACGCAATATTCTGCAAGTTAATTATGGTGATAGGTGAGAGAAAAATAAAAGTGAAAATACGTATGCGAATAACTAATACGGAATAAGGAAAAGAAAATTACTACAAAAAATTAGGTGATAGTTATACACGAATATCACCTGTATCACCTGTCGTTTCGCTGATCATCGACTTCCTCGAGCGGGCGCCAGTAACGTCCCCATTCGTCCCTGTCACGAGCCAGAGTGGTCCAGTGAATCGTTCTCGCTTCAGGGACACGAGGTTCAACATTCCTTTCGTTCGAAGCATCCATGAAGAAGTCTGATCATCTCGTTGGCGGCCTTCCTGGAGTTCGTTTGATGTCCCGAGGGATCCAGTCAGTAACCGCCCTGGTATAACGGTCATCACATAACGTGTCCGGCCCGCCTGACCTTCGATGTCTTGGCGTAATCAACGGCATCCCTGATCTTCGTTCGTTGACGGAGCTCGGAACTCCGGATTCACTTCCGCACTTGCGTGTATAGGGAAATTCCGAGCATCGTCCTTTCCAAAGCGCGTTGAGTAACGCTGACAGCATGCTCATCCTGCTTTCGTAGAGTCCAAGTCTCCGAGGCGTATGTCAAAGCAGGAAGGACAGCAGTGTCGAAAAGGTAAGCGCGGAGCCGGATGTTCTTTGTCTTCTTCACTACTCCCTCGATATTCTGAAATGCTCCCCAC